CTAAGAAACTCTTGTATTCTAGCTCTGTCGAACCCTGACCAAGAAACCTCTACCAGACTGAAGTGTCCTTATTTATGTAGCCCTGTTGCCAATCAGCAGAGCATTTAACATCTTTCATTAGGGACAGTTCTTCCTAGCCCAACCGTGGTAACTATTTCGTTACCCTATTAAGTAGCGTTTATTTCGCTATAACATTGCTTTGAAAAGAGCTATAAGAGAATCCGAAAAAATAACAATAGAAACCATTATTAATAGAAGCGTACTCTGATGACATCAACATCATAGCAAAAAAAGACAAGCGCAAAACAAGCGTTAACGGTATTTAAATCATCATCGTCATTCTGGCAGTTTCTTTTGTTTCCTTGATCTTTTCTGCTACAGGGACTTATCATTCAACGGAAGCCGAAACCGCGAGGAAGATCTCCAACAAAATGGATTGACCAAATCACAGGAAATTGCAAAGAAAACCTATGCACAATGTAGACAGAAATCTATAGCGACAGACCATAAAGACTGAAGAAAGAGATAGAGAATGAGGGCGAGAGAGAGAGAGTGAGCGAGGGAGAGAGGAGGTTAGGGAGGAAGAGCTAGCTAAAGAAACAGCCAAAGACAGGGGGGAGACAATTAGAGTCCTCAACACATCCTACTGGCAAGATAAATATGAATGAACGGGACATACTATAAAAGGCATTCTATAGTAAATTTTCCAGTGTAATCCTTAAAGTTTTCTATACCTGAATAACAAAATGAAATACTATACACAAAAATGATCTATAAGAAAGGGACAAAGGTAGTTCAGACATAATCTAAAACATTGAAGTGTAGGTTCTTTATCTTTTCAACAAGATTTCTTAATGATTAGAATGATTAGAATCATCCATTATTTTTAAAACATATTTCTTGAAAAATCATAAACGTTAGTTTTAAAAACTTTTCCTTGACTAATTTCCAACTACTGTTTCTTCTTATAAACTTTGTTGTCTGTCGTACTATTTGGTGATGATAAAATTATTTGTTATATTGTGTTATATTATTAAATGGAATGCCGTTATGAAACGAGTTACAAAGCGATGAAATATGACTAATATTATACATAGTAATAATAGAAAATGAATTTATAATCTTAAAATCTATAAAAAATTACATACAGTAATAAATCAATCTCGTGAAGTAATTTCATAGCCGCACCAAAATGTATACTTTAGGTATAATTGACAGGGTTTCCCACCAAAGTTGGCCACCGACCATATCTTGGAATATGTAACACATAAGCTACACACGAGCTTAAGACACCAGTTAAAAACGCTTGGGTAAAAATGTAGTTATCGTTTACAAAATAAGTTTCAATCAACCATTAAATCTAGACTCCTAGTTTTATTTAACTCAAGATATACCTTACATTGGGTCAGGTCGGACCGGGGATTAAAATTGTACTGATTTGTGTCTGGAGGAATGTAAAACCAATTTAAACCCCCAAAATACCTTATATTAGATGATGGCAATTTGGCGGTAAACTGGATAATTTTTTAGAAAATTTGAACTTTATATGGATGCAGTGAAAAAGATCTAACTCTTGCAAGTGAAGCTCGGGGTTTGAAAATAAATATCAAGAAGACAAAAACAATGATTATAAGTAGAAATGATTACCCCAACGCAAAGATATATGTCCCTGGAGAAGAAATCGAACAAGTCAGGCAATTCAAATACTTATGTTGTTTGCTGAACGAGTTTTGGGACCCCGAGAATGAAATAAAGAGCAGAGTTGAACAAGCCAGATATGCCTTTTTGAGGCTTCGTAAGTTTCTGACTGATCGCAAATTGGACTTCAACCTCCGATACAAGATACTTAAGTGTTAAGTGTGGCCTATTCTCCTATACGGAATGGAAGCATGGACGTTAAAGGCCAGTTCCATTAACAAACTTGAAGTGTTTGAAATGTGGTGTCTGCGTCGAATGCTTAGAATATCAGGGACGGATAGGGTCAGAAATGAGGAAGTACTCAGAAGAGCGGGCTTACAGGATAGGGAACTTTTTAGTTATGTAAAAATTATGAAGACTGCATACTTGGGGCACATATTACGAGGAGAAAGATGTACTTTTCAGCAACTGATACTCGAAGGGAAGATAGAGTATAGGAGAGGTCTGGGACGTAAAAAAATGTCATGGCTGCGCAATATTCGACAATGGACAGGAATCCACAGCTATGAAATGCTTCGCAATGCTGCTAAAAACAGACTTATTTAATCCTGAATACTTAACATCTCACCTGACAAGACGATGTACGGTGGACGCCTACGCAGAAATGCACGGCACCTTAAGAAGAAGAAGAAGTGAAAAAGATCCGTGTGGCTCAAAGAGAGATGGAGCATGCTATATTGGGCGCTTCAATACAAGACAAGATCCCAAACCGCCAGCTACGACAAAGATCAAGAGTGATCGATGATGTAGAGAAAATATCAACAGTGAAGTGGAACTGGGCAAATCACTTGGCTTGAATGACAGATAACAGATGGACGGATACTGGAATGGAGACCAAGAGATGATGCCTACCGAAGCACAAGTGGTCCACCAACACTCATATAATGTTACGTTAGAGTGACTATCTAGAACGTTGTCATAGGAATTGGATGCAATACGCACACGATCGAAACATATGTAAAGTTATGAGGGAGATATATGTCTAGCAGCGATGATTGATGCCACCGATTTAGAAGACAAGCTTGGAAAAAAGAAACTTGAAACATTGTTGACTTTACTTGGAGATGATGGATTAGAATTGTTTAACACTTTACATTTAGTGTAGAAGAAGAATAAAAAATTTACAACCGATCATGGATAAATTTTAAGAGTACTACTCCCATAAGTCAAATATTATTTAGGAGCGGTTTAATTTTAACAGAATTGTTCAAAAAGACGGACATTTTGATTGTTTCGTAACTAAGTGAAAGAACACAGTGAAAATGACTAAAGATTAGAACGACATGGTTAGAGACACAATTGTTATTGGAATAAAACACAAACAAAGTCTTTCAAGAGAATCCAAACTGATATTACATAAAACTATTATAGCATGCAAATAAAATGAAACTGGTAAAATGTAGACACAAGTAATTACATCTGAATGAATAGTAGAGGCTGTTAAGCCAAACAAAAACATTTCACAAAAAGTATGAAGTTATTGTTAGTTCAAGCAACGAGGAAAGAACTGTCTTGCATATGGTAAAATTTTTACCCGTTTCCACAATAGAAACAATTTTGCTTGAATGTGCGGCAAGAAAAAACAAACGTTTTGGAGCAGAGAAAGTCAAAGAGTAGAAAGAGAGTAGATATGTAAAAACCAAAATCCATGATTATGAATTATGATCAGAAAACCTGTGGGAGAAATTAGTATTCATTGCAAAATAGGGACTATATCTTCAGATATCAAGTTTGTTGTTGTCGTTGTTCAATATCAAATACCTTTGTTGGGGTTGGATGCTTGTATGTATTAATCTTCATCTCATTAATTGAGTAGGGAGTATAGATGTGGATTTCAACTCTATGACTAATTTTGTAGAAGAATTTACCATAGTTTTTAACGGACTTGGTCTATTTCCTAATGACTATTACATTTCATTGAAAGAAAGAAAGAAACAAAGAAAGAAAGAAAGAAAGATAGAAAGACAGATGCAGTTCGTCATGTTCAACCAGATCATCTCAAGATTTACATAAGAAATTAAAACCACTAGAAAAGCATTGTATGATTTAAAAGTTGAGAAAACTACCAAAATAGTGGTTAAACCCACTTGTAATTGTTGAAAAGAAAAACAAGGATTTAGGATTGTACAGGGTTACGCAATTGAACTGTTGCCTATTCAAACGACCATAATTTTTTTGTGTGAAATTATTTTTTATTGATTCAAATGACAAAATGTGTGAAAATAATCAAAATTTCAGAATCCACTAACTTTCGCTCGATGTGGCCACCTTTTGCCTTGACTATGGCCTTCAAACGATCAAAAAACGAGTTGCATGCTGAACGAATGTCATCTTCCGATATGTTGGCCCATTCACGTATAATTGCTTTCTTGAGCGCACCCATACTTTCATATTTTTTAGTCCTCACCTTACTCTCCAAAATGGACAAGATGGAATAGTCCATCGGATTTGCATCTGGTGAATTCAAAAGCCATTATGTGGATGAAATGAAGTGTGGAACATGGTTTTTTAACCATTCTTGGTTCACACTAGCTTTATGAGACGGTGCCGAGTCTTGTTGGAACGTTCATGGTCTACAATCGAAATGTTTGCGTGCCCACGGCTCCACAGCAGCATTTAAAACAATTTCCCGATAATAAGTTGCATTGACTTTGACACCAGGTTCAATAAAAACGATTGGAGAGCGTCCATCGGCGATTACAGCTGCCCATACCATTACTTGAGATGGGAAATTACTTCGGGTGGTTCTATGTATACAACTTAAATGCAAATGCTTTTGACGGCTTATAAACAACATACTGAAGTGTTATCGGGCTAACTTTGACGTAGCTGTCATTATCATTTGTCAGATATATTGATGTGAAGTTGGTAACAGTTCAATTGCATAACCCTGTACTTAGACCGTAAGTAGCTGAACAAAGCTATTAAAAGACAATACTTTTTGATACTTACACCTAAGGTTTTAATTCGCGTCTTTCTGTTTCAGATAAGCAAACAGACAAATATATTATAAATATTACGTAGACGAAACATGGAAATAGTCTGTATTTTATTTAATAACAATGAAAAATTCTTATACGTTACAGGGAGAAACAGAATATATATTGTACAGTGTAGAAGTTTTACTTTAAATTTTACGGTACATCCTGGATGTTTTGGATACTGAATGATTTATTACTCTGCGTATTTTTACAGATTTTAGCCGCACCCAAGCAATTCAAAGAGCATATACGTATTTCGCCAGTTAGGTTATTAGAGCGCCAATCTATACCAGCACATGTTAGTAAGTCAATATAAGGTAAGTCAACAGTTCCAGTTTCTTACCTGAAAATCAATTGGAGGTGGTGGCGGAGGAGGGCCTGTTGGTTCCGGAAGGGTCGGGAGTCCCATCTTTGGTGGTGTAGGTTGTTGTTGTTCTTGCGCCAATCCTTCTAACTCCTGTTGAATCACCGTCTCTAGCTCGACGTCAAGATCCTCGACCAACTCATCCATTTTTTCTCCGATTTCTTCAATGATTTTATTACGGTTAGCTGGTTGAACATCGGAAAGAAAGGCGAAGAGATTATCTAAATCTACGGATTCTGCAGGTACTTCTTGTCTGTTATGTTTTAGTTGTTCAGCCATCTGTGATAGGGCCGCTATTTCTTGTTCGGCCTCTCTGTAAAAATATGTTTATTATCAATGAGTAATATAAATTATTAAAATTACAGAATTGTGTAGTTTTAGCATATTTATACAAGTTTGAGATACGATGGAAGTTGAAGGTTTTAAGTAGTCCACATAAATCAGTGCGCTTGGATCAAATGACATAAATAAAACATAAGTAGATCATAAATACCATTCCATGAAAAGCTTTTTATTATAAAATAAGAATATTTCATCCTTTAAAGACGACTTAAAAGGGGTCTAATCGAATTTTGGGTAAATAAAAAATGTTGCAGGATGCATAAATGTTGGTAAATTATATTGGTGCCAAGAGAAGGGTAGAAATTTATATTGAAAACTCTTGAGGTTATCAATTATAATCACTTCCAAAAACTGTTTTTATGATTCTAGGAATTAAATGAGTATGCGTCTTGTAGCAGACGAGAGAGGGCGTAAGGCTAATTTTTGACGCCTTCAAACTGACACATATCGGTTACGATTTAGTACACAGACCACTAATAACTAGACGTTTCACGTAGGTAGCTCAAGGTCAAACCAAACTTAATGTCATTTGTAGTACCGATACAAATCTTCAGATGTCACTTTACTCTGTCTTTACCTTTACTCTACAGTTTAGGTTTAGAACACAACTAAGAATTATAATTGTCAATCGCCAATTGTCATATTAGCGTCTATTAAATAGACTCTATTTTGATTTTGTTGTAAATTGTAAATTACAAATACCGTACCTCAGTGATCTGTGTTTTAAATGTTCCTGGCGGTGTTCAAACAGTATTTTGCAGATTAATAATAATTAGTTAAATATGGTTCTTCACAATAAATGTTGTATCCTACAATGTACCAATTCGTCATTAATTAGACATGCCTTTCCAAATCCTGAAGACATTACACGATTTAGGAAATGGCTTAGTGTTATAAATAATCCTAATTTAGATATGATGAATGTTAATACAGTTTTTGAAACAAAACGAGTCTGCCACAGACACTTTGAAGATAAGTTTGTTTCTTCATGGAGTCATAAATTGTATAAAAATGCAATTCCTAGCTTACATTTGTACGGTAATCCAATAAATATTTGATATTAGAGAACAAATAACTGATTGATGATCGATTTTAGATTCTTCTTCTAATGTACATCCCAGAAGTATTTCAATGTTGAGTGGGGAAGCAAATATAACAGAAAGTGAGTAACCCTAATATGTAATTAACAAACATTTTACCTGAAGTGAATCATGGTATAAATTATTAAATTTACTTCTTCTTTCCTTGAGTTCCGTAAAAGAACAAAGTCCTATCTATCTGAAAGATCTTATTATTCAGTAGAAGAGTTTCTTAACGAATAGTGTTATGTACAAGTATCTAAACTATTTGTATAAATATATATTTCAGTATCACATGCAGAAACTTAAATGTATTAGTTCGTAAGGATTTATTATGCACTTTATTTAAATTTTGGAATACATTGTGTGTTTTATTATCTTTTATTTTGTGATATTGACGAGTTATGTAATTTCAGTAAATTTTAAATTGCTATTTTTCTGATTTTTTATAAGCTTTTTCCATAAAATTGTACAATTTTCAGTGGTAATAGCATATTTTTATTCTATTCTAAATTACAAAGTTGTTTTACAAGTGTTAAATAAATAAATAAATTACATTTTGTTTTATTTTTTCCTAAATAGTATTGTGTATATTTGAATTTAAAAATGTCAAATGCATTTTTTTTTCAAATATACCAAATTATATTTAAATATTTTAAGCTTTATTTAAATTTTCCCACCAAAATTAAAATTTGAAATTCCCGCGTAATTTCCCGGTTGAATTAGTTCCGAGACAAATCTTATGGAGCGCTGAATTTCATATCCAACTAAAGCATTGTCGTGGAACATCTAGGAGGTAGGTGATCTGTGATTTAGTAATAATATCACAAAAATTGGGTGTTTGAACAAGAATTTACTCGAGTCATGTCTCGGGAATCTGACGGGCTTAAATGAGGATGGCTTCAAGTTAGAAAAAAGACACTGAAAATTGGTATGTGGAATGTACAAAAAAAGAAGCGATATGAAAACATTAACAACAAGTATTATGGATATTATAACATTATGATAAACAAAATAAAACAACCGAAACTAGAAACTAAGAAAACATATCCACTTTGGGTCAGGGGTTGACAAACATGAATTTACGAAGGCAGTAGTATCTCTCTTTATCAGAAGGGAATTGGAAAAAGACACCAAGGCGTACACTTTTGTATCTGAGCGAGTTTTTACCATCGCCGTTAACGTCAATTGGAGTCAACTTTGAATCTGATCACTACCCCCTTGAAGTCAACATGATCTATCTATCCATTTTGTACCGCCGCTATAAAAACTGAATAACAGAATAACACTTCTGTAGATACTGGGAGAAACAAAGGATATAAACTAGGTCTCCCAAGATAAGAGAGCGTTGAAAACCTATTTCAAAGAAGATTACAACTAGAACTGAATAACATAACTAAACGTAATATATTAGTTAAATAATATAAGAATCTGAATTAGAAGTAGTAATTAGAAGTTGTAACGATATAAACGTCACATATTTGTTATTTTTCTTTAGATAATTATTTTATTTCATTTTTTTTTTTATTTGATTCACTTATTAACTTATCTCTTTTATTCTACTATTTTTATTCTAAAAATAGTCGGCGCTGAACCCTTCGATTAACTTTCTATTTACTAAATATTCTCTAATCTAAATTCCAAATTTCATTTTCACTTAATATTTTAATTCCTGTATTCAGATCTCATTATATCCTATATGGTATCAGTGAGCTGTCAGTGGACAACTCTGCTCTGTCATGTTACTTCAATTCTGTAGAGGTGGATTATATTTTTTTATATCGTTTTTTGCTTATTTGAGCTGGATCTTTGGTTGGACTTAGGATCCCTAGTTACGTCTGATAACAACGTTGCAGAGGAAGTGAAGAGGAGAATATTTATTGCCAATAAATGTTACCATGGCTTAATTAGGCAACTAAGATCAGATAACGTCTCCAGAAAAACAAAATGCCAAATATACAAAACCTTAATAAGACCGGTACTCACATACGGTTCAGAAACCTGGACACTCTCTAAAAGGAAGGAAACGTTATTAGCCACCTTTGAAAGAAAAATCTTGCGACACATATATAAGGGCACAAAAGAAAACGGGATTTGGCGGAAAAGGTATAACTTTGAACTATACAACATATACCAGGATCCGGATATCATAACATTCATTAAAATAGGAAGGCTACGTTGGATTGGACATGTGGAAAGAATGGAAGAAGGCGAAATACCAAACAAAATATTCAAACAAGTGCCAGTAGGAAAAAGAACAAGAGGAAGACCGAAGCTGAGATACGTAGAACAAATAGAAAATGATATAACAACATTAAAAATTAAAAACTGGAAATAAAAGCACGAAACAGGTCAGAATGGAGAAGAATCCTTGAACAGGCCAAGACCCAAAAAGGGTTGTCGAGCCAGTGATGATGATGATGATCTTTGGTTGGACGCTGCTATGGGAACTCAACATATCCCTGCAGTTTAATACCAATATAAACAGTTGGAACTAGCAATCAACTACTTCTTCTAGACTAGCTTTATAACTCGGGTTGAGTCTTCGCCGTATGCACTAAAACCCTTTATCGTCTACGGTTTTGCGCTTCCATTTCTCATTGTTGTACTTCAATCCTTGATAAATCAGGTTCAGCATCATCCTTCCATCTTTTTCTGTGACGGCCTACTAATCTTCTACCGTCTGGTCTTTCAAAAGATATGTCTAACGATGTTTTCAATACCATAGAGAGCCACCAATTCAGCATAGCGGAGCCTTCTCCACTGTCCTGTCAAGTCATATCTTTGAAGTCCAAATATCATTCTAAAAAACTTCCTTTCAAATACCAGCAGCATGTTTATTATATTGACTAATTGAATAATTGACTTGCACAGTTTAATTTAAAAGCACTGACTTAATTCGTTTAACAGAACTTAAAAAAAATAACATCTGTTAGTCGAAAAGGTGCTAGAGTACATTACTAAAGATCCTCTACTTAATAGCAAAGTAGCATACATATACGTAATTATAAGAATCGAGGATTTTAAAACCGCTTTAAAATGAAACTCGATCGAACTTCCGGTTCTGGAAATATTCCCGTTCAATTTTTAACTGCAAGAGTCTTTCGTCGATGGAACAGAAAGTTACAGCTTATGTTAACCTACTGTCAATAGACATACGCTCCATCAAGTGCAACCTCCTAATATACTTACTTTAAGTACTGCAATAGAAGGGAGACTAATATAATCGAGGTCGAATAGTACTCAGAAATATCTAATAACAAAAACAAGTTTTAGAAAATATACTTACTTTTCGCACTTTTCTAAATCTTCAGTTTCCTGAGCAAAAGAGGGAGGAGGTGGAATGTCGTTTACTTGATTTTGTTCTTGCAATCTCTTAGCCTCCTCTTCTTCCTTTCGTTTTCTTTCAGCTTCCCTCTGCTTCCGTTCTTCTTCTAACTTTTCTCTCTTTCTCATTTCTTCTTCAACTCTACGCATTTCTCTCAACGCTGCGGCAACTTCTCGAGCAAAAGCTCCTCTTAGATGACTTTGAATGACGATAGCAGCTCTACGTTTCTTTAAGAATTCAATTCTCAGTTTCCAGCCTTTGTAGGCATGTTGTATCTTCAGTATAGCATTTCTAATTTTTAAGTAATCTTTCCGTTTGGTGTACATTCTAAACGTTTTTTGTATTAAAATAGCTTGAGATCGTACCAATTTGTTCCTAGCTTCTTCCAATGGTTCATGAACATGAGGTCTCAAAAACACTTTGGTTTTTCCCATCTGCCACTCCGTCTTTGGCACATTGTGGGTCTCGATAAGATTAAGACAGGCGTTGGTCATATCCGGAGGCAGTCTATTTTTGGACAGACAATGATATCTAATAACAAAATCTTCGAAGCTCATGTGGATTGGGAAGCCCTCCTTTCGTATCCTTATTATATCTAACATTCCTAAATATTTGAGCTGATCTAATACTAACTGATCGTCATAGTTATCTGCAAGTTTGTGTTTGTTTGGTTTGATGCAGCGCACGTACCATGGAGTAGTTGACTAAAAATTACGAAAATATATATTATAAGATTATAAGCAGTCCTACCATAAATATTCATACAAGGTATTAAACTAAAAAAATTTAAACTACTAGTTTGATTTGAAAAATTTTTGAACTATTTATTACTAATTGAATGAACTACAAACTACAAAAAAAATGAAACAATCGACATTTTAAGATGTCTTATCAGGACTCCTCAGAGCGCCTATATAGAAGCTCTAAACGTGAAATCAAATATTTTCCATCAAAAGAAGTAATTATAAAAATAACTACATACGAAAGCTATGGGCGCCATCTAAGAACATACAGTCAAAATTCGAAGATTTCTTAGTTTTCGAAACCAAAATTCAGATGGCGCAATCGCGTGCATATGTAGTTATTTTTATAATTACTTCTTTTGATGGAAAATATTTGATTTCATGTTTAGAGCTTCTTACATAGTCAATTTGAGGAGTCCTGATAGGACGCAATACATATAAGCGAATAGTGGATGCACTATACTTAAATCAAATTTTAATTGTCTTTTCTATATTTTTGTGTATTCACGACCTAGATGAATTGATATGTTGTGGAATGCAAATTTAGATTCCCATGTCAGTCCATTCATCGTCTGTTTTCCTTTGAAAATTGTAGAAAGCACAGATTTGGATAATTATCTGATTTTTGGTTTTGAAAATCTAAGAAATATTCGAATGTCCACTGTTTGTTCTTAGTTGACGCCATAACGTCCGTATTTGGTTATTTTTATAATTACTTCTTTTGATCAAAAATTACTTCTTTTGAGCTTCTGCACTGTCGCTTTGAGGAATCTGACAGGACGAATACGTATAAGCGAATAGTGGAAGGTGTGGAAGCACTATTCTTCTTCTTGATGTGTATATCCGTTACGAATGTTGGCGATCATCGTCGCAATCTTTATCTTATCTGCAGCAGCGCTGGAAAGCTGCACAGACGTATTGACCCAGATTCAGAGTTTCTTTAACCAAGATGTTCTTCTTTCTCGTTTTCCAAATATGTTTCCTTGCAGGATGGCTTGAAGGAGGGCATATCTGGATTCATTTCGGATATGTCCAAAGAATTGTAACTGTTGAGATTTGACCTCCTCATTTGAGACTTGGTCAGTCGACAGGATCTTAAGTATTCTCCGATATAACCACATCTCAAATGCTTCCAGTTTTTTGCACATACCGTATATCGCACCGTATATGCGTATACCGAAATCAAATCTTAACTGTCTTTTTTATTCTACAAATCATTAAAAATTCAGGTTAGCCTGAATACAGATCCAAAGACTATTAGGCCATTCATCGATTGCTGTATGGATAACATCCTTAGGAAAATTATCCACAGCTTCAACCAGCGCCTGCTTCAATGACTACAGATTATGGTGAGGTATTGTACAGACCATGGCCTCTAAAACTGATCACAATTTGTAGTCAAATGGATTAAGGTCTGGGCTTGATGGAAACTACTTTTAAATTCGGGTACATTATTTTCAATACAATCTTCATTGTAAATAAAAAGGTGTTAAACACGTCGCAAGAGACTTTCGTGCTATGAACTCTAGAATGTGCATCCTGAGACTAAGAGAACATTTTTTTAATTATAGCATCTTAAATGTGCATGCCCCTACAGAGGAAAAGGAAGACGATGTCAAAGAAAAATTCTATGAAGAACTAGAAGCTACATACCCTTCATGCCCAAAGAATGACATCAAAATTATTTATGGTGATCTCAACGAAAAAATAGGAAAAGAGCAACAATACCTACCAAGTATAGGTAAGCACAGCCTTCATGAGATATGCAATGACAATGGCATCAGACTAATAAATCTAGCAACTTACCTTAAAATAGTCATTGCCAGCACATGACTCCAGCGAAAAAATATTCATAAGGGAACGTGGAGATCTCCAGATGGGATCACATGATCGATCATGTTATTATTGACTCTAGACATCACTCAGATGTAATAAACGTATGCAGCAAAAGAGGGGCAAATGCAGACTCGGATGACTACCTAGTGGAAAGTCGAATAAGAGCCAGAATCTCAAATATTAAAAAGCAAAAGGGATCCAAAATTGAAAAATATGAAATAAAAATTTTAGCAGACAACAGCAAAAAGGCAAAATACAAAGAATATATAAAAGAAAGGCTAGAAAATAGACAAAAACACGAGGATATAAACAGAGAATGGGAAGCGCGTAAAAACATCATACAAGACACGGCCAAAGAAACCCCGGGTCTACAAAAAAGCCCAAATCAACTGAAGGAGAGTGGTTCGATGAAGAGTGTCGTAACATAACAGAGAGGAAAAATAATGCATATCAACGAATACAACAACGACATAGAACACGAAAGGCAGAGGAGGAACATAGAATGCTAAGGAGGAAGAGAAGAAAATACATCGCAGAACACATAGAAAAAGAACTCCAAGAAATGGAAGAACTAAATAATCCATCAGAAAACAGAAAATTCTACCAAAAACTTAACAAAAGTAGAAAATAATTTAAACCAAGAACAATGATCTGTAGAGACAAAGAAGGAGATATAGTAACTCAACAGAGTGAAATACTACAAAGATGGACAGACTTCTTCAATTCTTCAAAGAAAAGTTTGAAAAAAACGAAGATCCACTATATGATGGAATTATACTGGATCAAAAGGATACCAGAGAAACAACCCACCATTCAGTAGCTGAAATGCAAGACGCAGTTACCAGACTGAAAACAACAAGTCACCTGGATTAGACAACATTAGCGTAGAATTAATAAAGGAAGGTGGAGACCCCCTATTGAATGCGATACACGAACTAATAGTGAACATATGGAATAATAAACAACCGCTACAAGACTGGAATACAGAAGTAATTATCCCACTACATAAAAAGGGAGATCAGCTTCAATGCAAAAACTACCGGGCAATAACGCTACTGACTGTGGCATATAAAATACTGTCAAATATTGTTTACGACCGATTGAGACCATATGCGGAACAAATAGTTGGGGATATCAATGTGGTTTCCGCAGGCAGAAGTTCACAATAGATCAGATCTTCGTCTTGAGGCAAATCTTGGAAAAGACTAGTGAATGTAATATAGACACACATCATCTTTTCATTGACTTTGAGAGTGCCTATGATAGCATCCATCGAGAATTTCTGATCCATACAGTGAAAGAGTTTAATATTCCAACTCAACTCATTGATATAGTAAAAAAAACACTTAAAGTACAAAGCAAAATTCGAATTCAAAACGAACTAACAGATACAATCTATGTGAGAACGGGTCTACGACAGGGATATGCCCTATCCTGTATTCCATTCAACATCACGTTAGAGAAAATAATTAGGGAGTCAAAAGTCAACACCAGAGTAACAATAATAACAAAAAGTGTACAAATATTGGCATTTGCAGATGATGTTGATATCATAGCTAGAAGCGAAAGAGAGATGATAGAAGCATTTAATGCAATAGAAAGAGCGGCACAAAACAGTGGCCTAAACATTAACGAAATAAAAAACAAATACATGAAGGTCAGTAAATCGACAGGCCAAAGAAAACTACAGAACCTGACAATACGAGACTATAACATCGAAAGCGAGAAAAGTGTTACATATCTAGGTTCACTAGTTACAGCAGATAACAATATCAGTGAAGAAGTTAAGAGAAGAATACATATCAATAAAACAAATAATGAACTAATTAAACATCTAAGATCTAACATCACAAGAAAAACCAAATGCAAAATATACAAGACCCTGATAAAACCGGTCCTTGTATATGGATCAGAGACGTGAACACTGTCGAAAAGTGATGAGAACCTTTTAGGTACATTTGAACGAAAAATCCTTAGACACATATATAAGGGGTAAAGTAAAATGACATATGGCGCAGAAGATATAACTTTGAACTATACATAGCATACAATGAACCCGAGAACATCTATAAAGATCGGACGTCTACGCTGAATGGGCCATGTTGAACGGATGTTGGAGACTGAAACATATAATGAGGCAAACACCAGTAGGGAGAAGGTCAAAGGGAAGACCCAAACTTAGATACATGGAACAAGTGGAACAAGATCTGAAAACACTTAAGATTACCAACTGGAAAAACAAAGCAAAGAACAGAACAGATGGCGGAAAATCCTAGAACAAGCCAGGACCCAGAAAGGTTGTCGAGCTACTGATGATGATGACATTATTTTCAACTGTTGAGCAGTTTTGACCTTATACGCAGGTGCAGAATCCCGTTGTAATATTCATTATATTCTATATATTATTTTGGAATAGTGTGGTCTACGGTCTCCACTACATTTGTTAAAATCTCCCGCTGATATTTTTTCGCCTCTGCTTGAACGTCTTTTCACAAAAAAGTAAAGACGTAACGCTGTCATAGAACACTCCCCACCAAATCATCGCTGAGGTGGGATAATGACCTCGTTCGATCCTTTCCATTAGGTCGTGGGATTCCCTGGATGGCCGTACATAAACTTTATCGTTTTGTTTATTAAGTTTCCTCTACAGTAAACATTTTTTCTTCTGTAAAGAGGATTTCTTTGTAACGCTCGTTACCGTACAAGGATAACAGGCGTCTTAATTGTTTTCCTATTTTGTTTTAATGCAACGATTAAGCGTTATCCTATTTGTCGTTTCAAAGCTGCCAATCTCATGTCTTATTTGATAATGCAATTTATCCTGGGACAAGGAAGGAGCCTCCACGAGATCAATAGTGCCACATCAACTGCAAAGTAAACACTATTGACGGCGTCCCCTGAAAACGTCTACTAGTAGACGGCTAATCCTTCCAACATCGGACCAAACCAAATCCGATGGCAAAGATCAAGCCACAACGGTTCTTCTCAGAGCCAACACTGACAGTAGCGAGCATAAATATCGAGGGCATCACTACAGCCAAACAAGACATCTTATCAGAATTCTTCAAGAACACGAACTGTGAGGTATTGTGCATCCAGGAAACCCACAGAGATCTAACTGCAGCGAGACCGAAAGTCTCTGGTATGAAACTGATTGCGGAGATACCACACAATAAGCATGGGAGCGCGGTATTTGTGAGAACTCAAACCATAGTCTCATCTGTGGAAACAACAAATGTACACGGTATAGAGATAATAACCACTGAGATCGGAAAATGCACAATAACCTCGGTATACAAGCCCCAAACCAGCCTTTTATATTTTCACCCCCAACTAATTTTCAATCACAAGCCAATCAACTTATACTGGGAGACTTTAACAGTCACAGTTTACTCTGGGGCTATGCAGATTCGGACGCAAATGGAGACGCAGTAGAAGCATGGGCCGAAACGAATGGCCTCACGGTAATCCATGATCCTAAACTTCCACCATCTTTTCATAGCAAAGTTTGGAAAAGAGAATCGGACATCTGTTTTTCAAGCAACAACCTCGAAGACCGATGTATCAAAGTAGTATATGGGCCCATACCAAAAACTCAGCATAGACCAATTGGTGTAAATATCTTCCCAATTGTCAGACCACAAGCTATTCCATTCAGAAGGAGATTTAACTTCAAAAAGGCAAACTGGCAAAAGTATGCAGACCTGCTAGATTTTGAACTACTACTCCTTGAACCAAAAGTAGAGAACTACGAAAAATTCGTAGAGGTACTCAAAAATGTGTCTAGAAAATCTATCCCTAGAGGATGTAGACAACAATATGTTCCCGGGATGTCCAGCGAGTCCAAACAACTAATGAGAACATACGAAACCCTCTATTCCACTGACCCTTTTAGCCATGAAACGGTTGACTGCGGAGCAGTACTACTCCAACAGCTAAGTCAAGCCAGACAGGAAAAGTGGATTGAGACCCTGGAAAAAATAGACATGACACATAGTAGCAAAATAGCATGGAACCTTGTAAAAAAACTTAGCGGTGATCCAAAAGAACATAAACCACCTTGCAAGGTTACAGCAAACCAAGTCGCTACTCAACTCCTTACGAATGGAAGAACTACTAACCGATATAAGGACCCAAACACTAGGAGAAGATTGGATTCGGAGACAAACCACCTAGGAACTCATTTTACACTAAAAGAACTCCACGACGGTCTGAACAGGTTAAAAAACGGGAAAGCTGCAGGTGTGGATGATATATGCAGTGAACAAATAAAGCATTTAGGCCAAGGAGCAAAAAACTGGATCTTGCAATTTTATAACACGTGCTGCAAAACCTGCAAAATTCCAAAATCATGGAGGAAATCTAAAGTAATAGCCTTGTTAAAACCAGGAAAGGATCCAGAAGACCCCAGTAGCTACAGACCTATTTTGCTATTGTGTCACTTTTTTTAAACTATACGAGAGACTCATACTCGCCAGAATAGAAAAAAATGTCGACAAGCACCTCATCCCACAGCAAGGAGGATTCAGACCTGGCAAATCTTGCACCGGTCAAGTCCTCGCATTAACAGAACACATTGAAGAGGGCTTTGAAGAAAAACTTATAACAGGGGCTGCTTTTGTAGATCTGACAGCAGCCTATGACACAGTAAGGCACAAAATATTGCTCCGTAAATTATACGACACTCTCGGCCTCCCACAGGGAAGTGTTTTAGCACCAATACTCTTCAATATATACACAAACGACCAACCTACTCCGACCGAAACCAAGCACTTGCTCTATGCTGACGATCTTGCAATATGTGCTCAAGGAAATAGTTTTGAAAAAGTAGAGGAGAAACTCGAAACTGCCTTAAAAACAATGACAGCGTACTACCTGCAGAATTCTCTGAGACCCAATCCCTCTAAAACCCAAGTCTGCGCTTTCCACCTTCGCACAAAGGAAGCCAAGCGAAAACTCCAAATTGTGTGGAATGGTAATGCATTAGAACACACAAACCAACCTATATATCTTGGAGTAACTCTGGACCTGTCCCTCACCTACAGACAACATGGCATAAAAACAAGAGGGAAAGTAACAACTATTAACAGCATACTCAGAAAGCTAACGGGAAGCAAATGGGGCGCACGTCCTGGCGTTTTAAGAACAATGGCACAGGCACTGTGTTTCTCAACTGCTGAATATGCGTGCCCCGTTTGGAGCAGATCTGCCCACACCAAACAAGTTGATACTGCGCTAAATGAGACATGCAGGATAGTAACGGGGTGCATGAAACCAACGCCACTTTCAAATCTATATAGAGCAGCGGGTTTTGCAGAACCCTCAACACGCAGAGGCGCTGCAGAACACATAGAGAAAATTAAACATATCGCGGACGATCGGCATGCCCTATACAAAGCTCGAACACCACGAAAGCGACTAAAATCTAGGAAAAGCTTCCTTGGAACAGTGCAGGATGAACCGCCTGAGTATTTTCCACTTCCCCAGGTTCAATGGAGCAGCCAGACCCTAGACTTTAAAACGTGGAAAACCTTGAATAGGATAAGAACGGGGGTTGCTACAGTAAAATCAAACATGGCAAAATGGGGAAAATTAGACCAAGATGATGTGAACTGTGACTGTGGAAAAACACAGAATATGGAACATCTTCTTACATGCAGAAACTGTCCTCATCGATGTACCCTTGAAGATTTGTGGCTCGCCAACAAAGATGGAACCTACGTAGCCCGATACTAAGCCGAAATTTTTATAAATGACATGTCCGGACACGATAAAGTAAAGTAAGTAATGCAATTTATGAAACTCGGCGCAATATTCCATTTTCCGAGCAATGATTTTTTTGTACAGGATTTTGGCTAATTCTTGACTTGATACTCAACTGGTCGCAACGGCGTAAAAAGTACGCCAAACGAGTTTAATTGGCGTACAAAATACGTCACGCGGACGCTCATGATTTTTATTTTTTTATTATTATTTTCTAATAAATTTTGATATTTTTGTGTTTGGATATAAATTTAAACGTGAATTGTTTTGTGTTTTTTCATAACCGTTTACAAATTATTACTATTTGGGCTAAGCACTGAGATTTTTCCTGATATACATATCAAATACTTTGACTTAACTATAGAAGTTACCAGATTGAGGCCTTCGGCTCACACTCCCTCCAAGGAAAACAAAATCACTCATCCAAGATACCTAGAGTATCAAGGGGATTGAGCTCTGATGGGACTATTTCCATGTAATCGGACCCTAGATGACCTGGCACGTCGGAGTATCTTCCAAAAATTTTCTTACGACTCTAGATGTTGAGAGCAGTAATGCCTTTTGCATGGTCTTATAGAGATGTTCATTAAGACTCAGCTGTTTTATGTTCTCTAAAAGGTTCTTCGGAATAACTCCGACATATTGATAATAAGGGGGATGATCGCTTTGGAGAACTTTCAATTTGCTAGCTAGTTGAATTATAAGCACTAAAATATTTATGTTTAAAAAATGAACATCATAACGACCACACTCACAAGCAGTCTTACATGCACACGCATGCACATACGCATTATACTACACTACAATTTTTCTACTAGCCTTGCGTAATTTATGCTAATAACTACAAAACAATGAGAATATTACTCTTTAGTGGAACAATTTCTAGTTTAATGATTATTAAATTAGGTATAAAGCTCACCTGCAAAACATCAACAAGTGCTTGAAGTTGATGCCTAAATGTATCTGAAACAGTAGGTTTGCCCTTACTTGTCCCTCTTGATACCGTGGAAGTAACTCCGTTCACCATTAATGTTCTCTGTGCCAGAGTACTGGAAAGATCTTGGAAAGTATACAACTCTTGAATAAACTCATTACTACTTCTAGAAAGAATATCAAAAAATACATCTTGTTGAACATCACGGTTCTTGTCTACAAATCCTTTAACATTGTAAGTTACACAGCCTGCATAATGTTTGATTCCAAATTCTGTTTCCCATTTTCTTCTATCTTCACCTAGAAATTATATATTTTATATATCTGATTATCAGTTAACAGAAAATCTGAATTTAATCTAATGGAATAAACTATTTTCAATTATGTAGTATTGAACGTCCATAAAAACTTTCACAGTGTGTAGGCTTTTGCGATAGCTGTTTTGTCATTTTGTATCGGAAATTATTTCTTCCTGACGCTTCCTCTGTAACTGCGACATATATTATCACAGTCGATGTGGTAGCAGACATAATAACCTATTATTGTTTTTGGTCCAGTCAGTTACGTTATATTTTTAGTTTTCAATCAACGCGATATACTTTTATGCATTTCTATAGATGACGCAACGAATATGTGACAGAAGTTGTGGACGCCTGGTTTGCAGTGCAACATATTTTTTAAGTTTTAGGGGAATGTCAGGTTCGTTATTATAAATGTACCGAATAAGAGAAGAATATGTTGAATAATAAAATACTTTTGAATATAATATAAAAACGGTACTAGATTTTTGTTTCAATACAGAGCGGCGGCAAGCCGCTTATACGTATTTCGACCTCTTTAAATCTCTTCAGACATAGCGGCTTGCAGCCGCTATGTATTGAAACAAAAATCTAGTACCGTCTTTATATTTTATTTCTTTACTCCGTTTGGAGTACCAGAAATTAAATTCAATACGAATTTTGACCATGATGAACGGCATGTGGAATGCAGTCTTCGATTCCTTTGCCGAGTAATTTATCAAGCTGTTAACTTTGCAAAATTTAGAAAGCACAGTGGGAAAAATTTGAGTTAGATTTCGCCAGGTAGAAATCATATGATTTCTCTTTTTGTTTTTTTTTTTTTTGATACTTTTGCTTTATTCCCCAGTAGCAGTAGCCCAGCTCTTAGCAGATGTTTACATATATGCAGACATATACAATAACTTACGGTAAACTACGGCATCCTAGTGGTCTTTTTAGGTCCTATCTTTTTTAGTAATCAATAAAATTTATTTAAATGTATCTGAACTAAAAGATCTCATCGTGTTCGAAGTGTGTGCGAAAGATAGGCTAGATCCGTCAAATAGTTTTTGCACAATTTAATTTGTTTATAAGATTTTTTGAAAAATGCACAAATTTCTAGGGCCGGTCCAGATAATTTGACTGAATGTATCTTAATAATCCGGGGCTTATTTTCTTCGATGAGACATATATTAATATCCTGTGGAAAAAAAGTTAAAAAAAATAACGTTTATGTACACAAGTTTATAAACATTTACAATAACTCCGTACTATTTAGTTTAAATTAAATGGCAATAAAATATTCGGAAGGCGGGTTAAAAAACACAACTTTAAAAAAAAAAAAAAGGTCCTGCGACCATTAGGAGCCGAGTTAGTCCTTTTTTTTTAAATCACTGTTACGTCAATTAACAACATTAAGGGCTGAAATTAACCAATCTTTTAGAAGAAAAGTCAAAGTTATTCACAAAATGTTTAGCAAAAAAAATAATTGAAAATTGTTTAAACAGGAGTGTTGTAAACGAAGAGTACTTTGCGTTCCGACTAGAATGGAAAGAGTGGGGATTGCCGATTGCACACAAGCCGCGCTCTCCAAAAAAGTCGAGCGCACGGTTTCAAAATAAAGTGCTTGGAAAAAAATGACATATCTCGGGTTCTAGTGGACCAAATTTGTTATTTTTTTTTAAACTGGGGTACAACGTTAAAATAATAACATTTAACGTACTTTCATTGCAAAATTATTCAAAACAAAGCCGCTAATGACTACGGAATGTACAAACTTTTTCTTAAGTCGTCTTTTTATTGTTATTTTTCTATTTATTTATTTCAAATATGATTATATTAAATAAATGTTATAAGTAAATGAACATTTTGAATAATGTTTACTAAAAATTTATTAATGAAATAATAAATTAATTTTATGTTATTACAGAAGTTGAAATTTTAAATATTAAATTTCATTGGTTAACTTTCAAAAATTATACAGTATATTGTATACATTTGTATACAATTTAAAGCAATGTACTTACATTTTTGAAATAAATGTTTAAAATCTGTATTAGTACAATAAATATCATGTTTTAAAATAAAAATAGAAATATTTAATAATTTTTCCATATAAATAATATCATAGTTTCATTTTCACGTAAACTTATAATAATAGTAAAATAATATTATATTCAAAGTTAACCGTATATTAATCAGACAACGTGGTACAACCATGTGTTTATATTAATGTATATCACAACACGTAGTTTTTTTTAATATTCAGATGAATTTTACTTACCATTAATTATTTGTAACAATTATTAAATAAAACAAAACACTAAATATTTCAATACAACAAACCGGTTGTATAGTCGCAGGAAAATGAGTTGCGGCTTGAGTGCAATCGGCAATCCCCACTCCTTCCATTTGAGTCGGAACGCAAAGTACTCTTGGTTTACAACACTCCTGTTTAATCAATTTTCAATTATTTTGTTTGCTAAATATTTTGTGAATAACTTTGACTTTTCTTCTAAAAGATTGGTTAATTTCAGCCCTTAATGTTGTTAATTGACGTAACAGTGATTTTTTTAAAAAAGGACTTACTCGGCTCCTAATGGTCGCAGGACCTTTTTCTTTTTTTTTTTAAGTTGTGTTTTTTAACCAGCCTTCCGAATATTTTATTGCCATTTAATTTAAACTAAATAGTACGGAGTTATTGTAAATGTTTATAAGCTTAAAAAGTGCTCTTTATTGTTAAATCATTTTGTGTACATAAACGTAATTTTTTTTAACTTTTTTTCCATAGGATATTAATATATGTCTCAACAAAGAAAATAAGCCCCGGATTATTAAGATCCATTCAGTCAAATTATCTGAACCGGCCTTAGAAATTTGTGCATTTTTCAAAAAATCTTATAAACAAATTAATGTGTGCAAAAACTATTCGACGGATCTAGCCTATCTTTCGCACACACTTCGAACACGATAAGGTCTTTAAGTTCAGATACATTTAAATAAATTTTATTGATTAATAAAAAAGTAATTAACAATAATCAAAAACAGTGGTTTTGCTTGGTTATTATGCAATAACTTTTTTGTTTATTAACCGATTTGAATTTAGTATATCTCATTTTGTGTATTTTTTTTCTCAACAACTTGTCTGTGGACGTCAAATCTCTAAATAGACAAGTTTATAAGTTATGAGCAAAATAATGATATTGACGCTTTAATTGTTTATTTAAAAATATTTCCACTAAAAAAATTCATGAATCCCTAGATGAGAGTCTTTTTGTAATATCTCATACTACTTATTTCAACTGTCAAACCCGTCTATACACTTGTGATGAGTAAAAACCTAACTTGATTGGCCTATATTAAGTAGTTCTCTGTTAGGCGAACTACTTTTTAGTCTTTCTTCTCTCACCACTCTCTTCAGAAAAGCGCTAAATCTTCGTTCATTACGAATTCAGCATATTATAACATTTTTCTTTTTCACGTGTTATATAATAATACTGTCCGACGTTGGTGATTCCCGATCTTCTACCACATGGAATAATTTATTGTCATGCATTTGTTATCTGAGTCTATTCACGAATATTAAAACTTATTGGTGAGAAATTACTTATTCAGTTCTAGTTCCTGCAACTCTTTTAAACATTTCTATCATGTATTGCTGGAGATGCTAAATGTGCTTTATTTCTACTTACTAGATTATTCATGTTACATTATTTTTACAACTTAGATGTATCATTTCAACTTACCTTTTACATATCTCTCGTGGTTATCGAATTCAGAATGAAGATTGGTTATATAGGAAGCATCACAACCTCTTGGTAAATGGCACTGTTCTGATAACAGTCTTAAAACACATCGGGGTGGTCTTTCTAACAATTCCAAACATAATGTGTTGTCAGTGAAAGCTATGTGATTAAATTGGATTTGTTCTTGAATATACTAAAATAAAAAAAAATTTGCAGTTAATATTTTATAAATTTAGTGTGATTGACTTCGCAATCGCATGTGATTAATACGTTCGTTATCAAGAATGAAGAGCAGCATGTTACTTTAGTAGCGGAGGAAGGGAAAGTCAGATAGATTTTGTGCTGTGTAGAAGAAGACAGCTAAAGTGATTACCAACTGTAAACTGATAAAGGATGAGTCTGTAGCTAGTCAACACCGACTGATGATAGTAAATACGGAGATAAAGGTGAGGCAAAAAAGACATTAAGTAGGACATCAGTAAGTAAAGTGGCGGAAGTTAAAGAATAAGGATTTGGAAAAGTCTTTGAGAGTGGGTGCTAGAAGAATTTGAGAAGGAAGATACGGTATGAGAAATGTCTGTTAAAGGGTCTCCTAGGAACAAATAAATTTGATCGTGGAATGATGATGAAGTGGAAAAGAAGGTTAAGGAGAAGATATAGGCTAGAAAGAGGTATCCGAGGTCTAAAGCAGAGGAAGATAAGGATATATACAAGGTAGAAAAGAGGAAAATAATTCGTGCTGTAGCTACTGGTAAGGATCGTCTGCAAAGCTGCAGGAAGAGTTGGAAATACCTAATGGGATTAAATGTTATGAAGCACTGCTAAAGCAAGAGACAAGTCATCAAAGACTTGACTCACGTCCGGCAGATTAAGAGTGCTAAGATGGTATGAGCAATACCGGGGATAACGAGAAGTAAAGCTGTTGATACAGTATATCTTGACATGCTTATAGAATTAGGAAGAAAATCGGTCTAGATAGAAAATATACTCGAATAATTGTTAACTTGTATTGGAAGATACAGAACAGTTGAATTGATGGAAATATATCCGAAAAGATACGTGTCTTAAGGGGAGTACGGTAAGGTTGTGATCTGTAATCTTTGAAGACATAGACATAGGAATAGTTGTCAACTATTATTATTAGAAAAACTAAATATTAAAAAGACAAATAAATAGTAGTGAGCAAGTATCACGAGTCTAATGGCAATCAAGATAGAATCCCAGTACATATCAATACTATCGAAAAAGTTATAACTTTTAAATACTTTGGTTGTTTTTTAAATAAACAGTAGGCAAAACTCACAAGATCAGATGTAGAATTGAACAGGCTAGGCGACTTTTCTGAAATTGAAAATAAATTTCTGAAATTATTAAGTCGTGGAACTGCCTCACTTGATAATCGAAAGTAAAATTAACGGCGATCGAAGAAGGACCCCATGAGTCAAGAATCTATGTTAATGGTATGGAATTAGCACCAGATTACTTTTTCGAGCAGCAGTAGACAAAATAAATATTATGCAATTGGTTGTCAACGTCCAAGGGAAACGTAACTTGAAGGAGGAGAAATTAAATTCAAAATAATAATTGACATATATGGAACTGGTACTTGAACTTGATACTTACTATTTCCTGTTCCAAAGCAAAAACATAATGATTAAAAAATTTGTGTAGTTTCTCGTTCGTGTAATTAATACATAACTGTTCGAATGAGTTAACCGCAAAATTTTCAAAGCCAAAAATATCCAAAACGCCGATAAATCTTGTCGAATCCTGACCTGGGTTTGTGCAGTTGTTGATGTGATTTATTAGCCACGCGAACGTACGAGAGTACAACGCTTTGGCCATCGCGTGTCTGTTCTCCCTAGCCTGAAAAACAGCAGAACAAGTGTTATTGAAGGATTACCAGAACCAATTTGTTATTTACCGCATTTTTATAAAATTAAGTTTTTAATGTTTTCAGTTTACATTATTTTAAGTTTCATAACGAGTATCATCGTCCTTAGGTTTACCAGCTCTTTCTAATCATCTCACAATTATTGTATATCACTTTTTAAGAAAGACTGACATTGTTGATGTATGGATTTAAAATATGTTAAACAACATATAGTTAAGCAGATGTTCTTAAGTATATTCCAACTTTTGACGTGACAGAATCCAGTCTCTTTCTCTCTCTCTCTCTATCTCTCTCTCTCTCACACCATCATCACTCGAAAAGTCAATGCGATTGACTTTTCGAGACCTGCTGAATGAGTCATTGGTGCATCCCCAGACTTTTCGAGATAACGGCATTTTATATATAAATACCATGGATTTTATTGAGCAGTTAGTAAGAAGATAAATTCGGGGCTCGCGTATTTAAATGTACGAACGTAATAAATAGTTGTACAGTTATTTAATAAATTGATAATAAATTATCTTGAGTTTTAATAAATTAGAATAAAGACAATAAATTAGAATCATAAAAATATAACAATAGCTTAACTTTGTCCTTGACCTCTTGATTAAAGATTTAATTTTAGTCGAATTCGATCTTTTGTTACGACTGAAAAATCCACCGAGAAGTTTATTTCACCAGAAGGATTTCTTCTTTCATTCACAGCCTTAAACTAAAAGCACTTTTACGTTTGTCCATGTCATATCAATTGATAGAAAAAAAAATAAACAAAATATTGAAAATAGACATTCAATATACCAACTAAGTATTGCTCATTGTGCTCTTCGTAATATTCAAGAGATAAGAAGGTGCCCAAAAGTAAATAAAAAGCTTACCTCCTGCAGTTTTAGCGGTATTTCTGTAATATTTCCTCTAACGTTAATCTGTCTCAGAAGTACAACCTGTCTAATGTTGTCCATTTCTAATCCTAATAACTTGGATAAAATTTCGATAATATCCTCATCATCTTTGGTCAGTTGACATCTCTCTCCGTCGATGTCTTCGAAAGTTAGATTGCCTAACCACAAGATGGCAGACAAAACTTGAAATATTCCGTTACATTTGTTTGCAGGTACTTGCAGTACATTAAACGCTAACATTAAACTATCAAGTCTTCTTGAATCTCCCTCTATTTTAATGCAATCCGATTGATTTAGGTAGTTGTAGAATTTGGCTTCTCTCAGGTAGAGCTGTTTGGCTAGTTCTTGGTTAAACTAAAACAAACAATTTTATGTTTCATTTTTACTCCTAATCAAAATTTTTATTAAAGTCAACTAAATTACTTTTTTAAGCATTCAATATTCAATGACATACAAATAATAGACCAACATTTGAAAACAACAAACAAACCCGAGTAAAAAGATTGAATGAAAACCGAATTCAAATTAATATTAAATAAAATAATAAAACGTTAAATTAAAAAATACAAATGGAATATAAAAAAGTTGAAAACTTTCTCGGACTAGTCACCTCATCCTCAGTAAGAGCAAGTAATACCACTCAGTTAAGAAAAACATAAGGTAAAATGTTAACTGTTAAATGCAAAAATGTGGTTTATATTACTTACTTTTGTAGTAGCTGCGTAACTAACCGTAAAACCAAACTATTTTTGGGTTTACTTTGAATTAAACACACTTGAAAGTAATAATCTAAACGGCAAAATGTCGATGTAATTGGATTACTAACCGGGATAGTCCCTACTCTAAAAAATTATTTCTACATTGGTGCTTCGTGTGAGTGTGGTTTTCCTATTGAATGTGTGGGAGAAAGAATGGGAATCGGGTGGTTCCCATTCTTTCACAGTCACAGTTGTCTGTATGTAGATTTTCCTTCTTCTCTTGAGAAATATAAAAAAAAGATATTTTTGTAACAAAATTTTAGATCAAGTTCCAGAGAAGCGTTGTGTAGGCTCTCCTACAAAAATATATGGATTAGAAGAAGGAAATGTGCATTTGATTTATAGATTACGCACAAGCTTCTGGTTGTAAAACATGCTTGAGTTATTGGAAATTAAAATGGACTAAGCAACAAAGACATACAGACTCGTTTTACTTGTATAGCCAGTTGGCCACTAGGTACCTAGGAGTAACACTAGAGCAGTCTAACAACACAAACACCTGTTAACCGTGGAGTATGACAAGGATGTGCCCTGCGGTCTATTCTGTTCGGTGACTAACGAGATCGCATCTTTCAACGACACTGGAAGATTCAAAAGAAGGCATAAAAATAAATGGTAAACGAGTAGCCAATATACGATACGCTGACAACACAACGGTGTTAGCTGAAAGCTTAGAAGATCTCGATCCCCTATTATCCAGAGGTGACGATCTCGGCCTAAAAATAAACACGACTAAATAAAATGAACCAAGATCATGCTCTTGGGCTCATAAAATAGTCTACTTCAGGCATCAGCAAGAAGCGTTACTACCTGACTTAACAACTTTTTCTCAAAACCAGAATTATTTAACGCGGAGTCAAATTCGTAAAACCCACATAAAAAGCATATATATATATATATATATATATATATATATATATATATATATATATATATATATACATTATCAGAAATTAAAACACAGAAATTACTTTACCTTGGCTTCTTCGACTAGTTGATAGAACACGTGATAATTTCGTTCGCCTGATCCTTGAAACGTTATTCTGGACTGTTCCAATAAATAATCTTGCACTATACATCCCGCTATCATCCATCTTGAATCAAAACATACTTGCATAAATTTACCGAATCTACTTGAATTATCATTTCGAACAGTTTTGGCATTACCTAAAAAATTGTACATACATGCATTTAAAAAATCATTAATTGATTTGTTACTCAATTGATAATATCTAATTTAACACATATTATTGAGTTTTAAATAATTGATTGTTTAAAACTCAATAATATATGTTAAATAAGGTCAGATATATATATATATATATATATATATATATATATATATATATATATATATATATGTATATATATAGTTTAAAATAAAAAAGCAGAATACATCACAAATATAAATTTTGAAAGCCTACAAGATGATTGCAAAAGTATGCTTATATTACATAATATAAGCATAATATAATGTTGTATAAAATGTACGCCTAAAAATTTGGATTTAGGTTCCTTTTACCCTCTACTACACTTTTGGACTTGACTGCTTTTACTTGGGGAGTGAAAGCCACCGCTTCTCGGGGGTGAAAAAACATACGTTTAAAATAAGTCCGAAAATGGATAAACTAACTAATTGTAAGATATTTTTGTACTATAAAATTTTTTCACTAAGGCAATACTTTTTAAGGTATTTGCGTGTGAGAGTGGAAATGTTCCTTAAAAAAAAAAACAAAAAATGTTGTACTCATGAAGTCTGTAGATCCAATAGAAGCAGAGTTGTAGCTCATAAAAAGTAGGTTCTTATTTCTCAAATTCCAAATCAAATATGTCAACGTGAAATAACCAAAAAATAAAGCACTTTTCAGGGAAAACTGTAAAAGTGTTTAAACAAGCTTTATTTTTGTTTTTCTGGCATTAAAACTAAGCAAGTTACGCTCAAAATATAGTTGGTCCATTGAAAATTAACTTAATCAATAGCGCTTTACAATTTACTTTTTTGAATGAAATCCCGTTTTTAAATAATTAAAAAAAATTATGCTATGAAAAATCTCGAAGAGTAAAAAATATAGGTTTCGCTTTTCTGAACATTTTGGTTTTTTTGTTTTTCAAGATATATGGCTGTACAACCCTTTTAAAAATAAGAATTATAACCTGTTATTAAGGCACAGCCATTCTTTCACCCATCCTTACAAACTAATAAGGGTTATTTTTAAGTTGAAATAAAATAAATTCAAAAAATTTTGAATAAAAAAATTATTATATTTTTTCAATAAAAAAATACTACAACTATTCAAATTTCTTCGCAAGGGGTGGTTTTTATAAGGGTAGAAGTTATGTGGTAAAAAATTAAAACAGTAAAGAAATCTAAATTTCTTTAGAGAAATTATCTTCAGGGGGTAGTTTTCACCACCTGAAAACTAAAAGCAACCAACGCCACAAAACCAATTTTTAAGTGGAGGATTAGTATATATAACCTAAATCCGAATTTCCATGCAAATCAGTGGTGACCAAAGTATTCAATGACATTATAACTATTTTAGGGGTGAGATTTCGAGGTTAAACTGTGAAAAAATCTTAAATTATGTTGTTTAATATTAATTGACATTCATTCACTTCATCAAAAGATAATTTGAATCAATAGCCCGCCTTAATTTAAAATTATACAATTTTTTTTCTAATAAGGGTTGTTTTCAACACTAAAAAATAATAGACGAGCGATTTTCCCCTAAACAGACGCTTAATAGATCTAGAGTGCGGATAGGTAACAAGCTCTGAGAGTCGTTTGAAATAAACAGTGGACTGAAACAAGGAGACGCGCTGTCACCTCTTTTTTTTAATATAATCCTGGAAAAAGTAGTAAGAACCGCACAGATTAGAACAGAACTACTGACAGTAGTTCTGTTTGGACCAAAATTTCTACTAGCATACGCGGATGACATTGACATTGTAGGAAATACCGTCACCAATGTAAAAGAAACCTTCAATAAATTAGAGAGAGAGGCAAAAAATACCGGTCTAAAGGTCAATGAAGAGAAAACCAAATATATGTGCATTAACAGACAAAAGATACGAGATAGAATAGGACAAAATGTAACAATAGACCCCTATAACTTTGAAAGAGTGGAGAGTTTTAAATATCTCGGAGCGACTATCACCACAGATAACGATATCACGGAAGAGATAAAAGGGAGAATTCAGGCAGCAAACAGATGTATGTATAGCCTCCACAACACTATTAAATCCAAGAGCCTAACACGAACATCAAAAATCAGGATATATAAAACAGTAATTAGACGGGTGCTCATGTATGGGTGTGAGACGTGGACGCTGACAAAAGCAATGGAAAGTAAACTCAGATGCTTTGAGAGAAAAATCCTCAGACAGATCTTCGGCCCCTATCACGATCCGACAATACCGAATTAGAACAAATGCCGAGGTCAAACAAATGTATAGTGCTAGCGACGTAGTCCAAGAGATTAAATCCCAACGTCTAAGATGGGCTGGCCATGTTCATAGGCTCCCTAATAACCGCCTTACCAAGTTAATCTGGGAAGAAGTCCCGACAGGGAGAAGGCCCTTAGGACGTCCACGAATGCGAAGGAGAGATAATATATGGTCAGATTTGAGAACAATGGGGCTACCCACTGACTTAAACATCATGGACGACCGTTCGAGATGGAAGATGGTTGTGCAGTCAGCCAAGACCCACCCCGGGTTGTAGCGCTACCAGAAGAAGAAGAAGAAGACGCTTAGAAACGGAATATACCCCTTTTGTTTTCTACCGTATCAAACCTTTTGTATTCGATTCAATATATTTTTCAATTTCAAATTTTCTTTTATTTTTCCAAGTGGGTCGGTAATTGTTATTAACAAGTAATTTATAACAAAAAACCATTTGCCAAATTGCTTTGAGTAAAATTTTTTTAGATGTATTTCATCGAAGTAAATACTTTTTCTCTCTTAGTAATGTTTCTAAAAATGCTTCCTATTCGAGTTATTTGTAATTTTTTTGTTGAAAACCTTAATTAGTGATTTTTGGGATTTTTTATATAAAAAACTACTAAATGAATTACAACTCTACAAAAAACTTTATAATCTTTAAACACTATCTACACGTATGACTAAGAATATTTTCAAAAGGATTAGTGGTTTCGATCTTGCTAAAAACATAGCTTTAAATTTGAAAAATTTCTAAGCGCCGCGCGCCTGAATCACCGCAACTGTATAAGCTTATTATCGTATATGGGAATATATTGGTCGAAATGCATATTCTAAATATTTGGTTCCATCTTTTGATCAAGATAGTGATCATTTATCGTCAAAATATTCTTACTTTTAGAAAAAGTATTTATTTCCATGAGACCCGTCTAATTTTTTGTTGTTAGTTGTTAATAACAATTTCCTACCCACTTGGAACAATTTAAAAAAAATCTTTTAAACTTAATAATGGTATCGCCGCATTTCACATTCATTTACTGGCCTATAAAATCACAGGAAGAAGCAGAAGCACATATTATATTATATCATAGAAAATTATGGCGTTAATGCGTAATACTAGATTCCAGCCTTCTCTGATATAGTATTTTCACTTATTGCTACTACCGAACTAAATTAAATGAAGTATATCAAATGACAATTTTGTTTGAAAAGTGAGTATCGAAAATAATACAAACTTTAATTCCAATATTTCAGTTTTCTCCCTTTTCATCAGATATACTACAGGACAACCATAAAGGTAAAGTTAGGTTAGGTTAGGTAAGTTAAACAAAGCTACTTACCAAATGCTTCCAGAATGGTATTGGCTTCCAGAATTTGCTGTTCCACCCACGTAGACACGCCACTGGTAACAGAACAAAGATACTGCAAGATAAATCTAGTAGACTCCGTTTTACCAGCTCCACTCTCACCACTTATAACTAAGCTTTGGTTTATATGCCCTTTGGCAGGGTTATGAGTTTGAAGGGAACTGTATGCAGCTTCTGCCAGTGCAAAGACATGAGGTTCCACATCTCGCATTTTTTTGCCATGGTATTTGTTCACGTAATACTAAAACAAAAGAAAAAGTCAAAAAAGTTTTGTAAAGATAAAGTTAGGTTTATATTGAATAGAAATGGGTCCTTAGGGACCACTTGAAATTACTGTGAAGTAAGCTAGAAAAAATAATCATATGTGATTGGTCTGTAAAAAGATAACCGCTTCCAAACATGACATGTTAAATACTCCTGATAGTAATAACATTGTAAATCATAAGGAAAATCCATGAAAATACTAATAATAGTATCCTGATATAGTAAGTATTTTGTCTTACATTTCATTTACCTCAATATTAACATCAAATCCTAATTTTAATATTTACAATATTCCCAAAAGAGGATAGTGAATATGAGACTCTAAAGAATAAAGAAAAATTATTACCTGGAGGGACATATACGTTCCATGGAGATATTAATCAAAATATAGGTCAATATATTGGACAAATGGCGCAAATCGTATAAAAATTACATTAGACCCTAAATAACCCAAAAATTTTCCAAATTCATTAAAAATTAAAAAGTCGAGGCGAAAAGATAACAATGACACATCTCAGATTTGCAAACATGCATGGGAAAATGAACTACTACTACAGACACAGTAGTTAGGTAATTTCATGGCTGTATCTATCACATATAACTAATCCTGGGTCCTGGATCTAATTGAAACGAAAAATAGAAATCTAGATATCAGTAAAATGGATAAAAGCTGCGTATTTCGATACATATATCGTCGAGATAAACTAGAATTATTATTACTGTAGGATAAAATTAAAGACTGAAAATGTGTAGGAAGGTGAAAAAAATTATTGATAAAAAATACTCGGTAATGAATCATGGAATGTGATCTGCCGAACTGTTCAGGCAGCATTTGATACTGTCTGAAACAACCTGGGGCGCACCCATCGGGGTTGGGGGGGGTTAAACCCCCCCTAACCCCATTCCGACACTGTTATTCACAAACTATAAGTACTTAAAATGGTGGAGGTAGCGTAAAAAAATTCGGTGCCCAACCAAACCAAACCCCCCCCCCAGAGGAAAATTCTAGGTGCGCTACTGAACTTAATCAATTGGATCGCTAGCATTTAAGATGATACGCGTTAGAAAAAAAAAGCAGAGGTACAAGATAGCTCGTGTATTGGAAACAGAAAAAACTGTTATGGAATCCAAAGGACATTCGCTTTATTTTTATCTACAAAATAAATCAGACTTGTTAACAGCAAAATTACTCCAAATGTGCTGGCATAACTTCCATAAATCTGTTACATTATAAAGCTGTTGTGCATTTTCCCCGTCTCTCCGATTGGGCTTTTCAGTTAATATTAATAGATATTATTTCTATTATTTATATATTAATAAGGAAATATAAACAGACTGCTAGTGATTTCGACTAATTACGACCGGTGGCAATGTCAAAGACGATAATCAAACTTTCAGAAAATATTGGTGCTAATCAATACAGTACCACTTCCATGGTACTCTATTGATTTTAGATAATAATGTTGTTTATTGTGCATGGTCTAATAAATTAATGTAAATATTTCAAAGCCAATAACGTTGACCAAAGATGATAATAATGATATCCTTAATGGAAAGTTGGTAACGCAAATAATTGGTGGTCAAATAATTGTCGAAAAGCAAAATATTGCCCTGTAATCAAACTCTAAATAATTAATTAAATATTTGTTCGCTGACAAAATGATACATGAATGTGAAATTAACTGCCGCCGGAAAATCAAGGAATAGGAAAATAAACCACTGGATTTAATTGGATTATATGAAATTACACTGATTGTATCAATAGTAGTGGGTATTTTGCTTAAAAACGTATTGTACCGTTTTTAAATAAAACGAGCGGTTCGAATTTATGTGAATATATTTATTTCTAAGTTTACACTTCGGTAATATCTTATCAACTAAACTCAACTCATAACATCGTTACATATATATACCAAAAGTATTGTTCTAGAACCATCTGGAGTAGTCCCACCTCTAATTCGTTGTTTGACGGGTCGACTCCCCTGCGCTCGATACATCTGTGGAAAGTTCTCGGCGCTTCGAGATGCAACCGTTACATGGGCCACGCCGAATGCATATTCGTAACATTATTTTATTGCGATTTTGGTAATAATCTCAATTTATACTAAATAAAATAAAGATTAAAAATATACACCATTGTAAATTAGAAGTTGTTTACTTGATTGTTAGTTTTTTTAAACTATAATATACAGCCAACCAATGAGATTTTCCCTTTTATTAGTTAAATAAAAGATATTTATTATAGTAATTAACTAGAATTAGTAAAGTTTGGAAAATGTTTTTAGTATTTGCGCAAATTCGTAGAACTCGTATCAGAATCAAATGCTCAGATTGTCAGGTTGCATTATATATTGAATGTTCTCGATTCCTTTATATTAAAAATATTTAATTAATATATGTTTTTTTTCTGTAGTTGAGTATGGAACCACAACTACATGTACCAAAGTTAAGATAACTAATCAGGCTGTGGTCGAAATTTCAACCAACCAAAAAAACCAACAAAAAGTAAAAATAAAATGGAAAGAGTATGTACAGGAATGTATCATATTTGTTTATATTATCAAAAAATATTTCTGCTTTATACAGGGTTAAATGGGATATAAAAAAATTATAACCAACATTTTGGAGTTGCACGCACTTATAGGTTACTCCAAGCATTGCCCTCAAGGTTGTGTTGGTTTAAAAAATTCACTAATTAATGTTCAAAATCATTCCTTTTTGTCTCTACAGATTGAAGTATAATTAAAAATCTGCGGAACGTCATTTCACCATAATTGGTATATGTTGTTAACATGTTGTTAACCATGAAAAAAATGCGAAAAATCCAGGATGCAAATTTGGGGATTTTTACGTTGTTATCTTCAGTTCGTATTAATTTTTTCGAAGAATCTATCTAACTATATAAATTTTAGTAAACTGGAAAAAAGTTTCTGGATGAAAACCATATCTGATAGAATTTCCGTAGCATTAACAATTCGCCGCATTCCCGGCTTTATATTTTAATTAGAGAGTAAAATAGTTCTTCAAGACACACCCTTTGGGTTGAATTAATTATGTTATTTACATGAAGTGTGATGTCACTTCCTGTAAATGGGACACGGTGACAAAGCACGATATAGGTAGAAATGAACTTAACATAATTTTATTGATCTCATTTGTTAATGCTTAAATAACAATACCATAATGTTTAGAAGCTAATAATATTCAGCTGATGTACCATAAGTCATTGACATTTAAAACGATATTTGAATATTTTGACATATGATTATAAATATCATATATCATTTATAGGAACTAGCAAATGTTATAAAACTAGGAGAGTCCGTTTAAGACAGAATATCCATAATAGTGAATACTGCAAAAACTTTAACAATTGATTCGCAAAATATTTCATTAAGTCTTTATAAACTATAGTACTTCGGAAGTATTTACAGATTTAATAACCTGAAAGTATAAGGAACAACTTAATACAAGTATATGCAAGAAGAGCTGACAAGGTGACAAACCCAAATCAAAGTTCAACTTGAAAGTTAGTGCTCAAAATACACAAGATATAGTGGAAAGGTATGAGCCTGGTGGCAGGAATCAAAGGGGATAAAAAGTGATACAGCTGTGCTAAGATGGAGAATGCATCATAGCAAATACTTATGTAACGTTGTTTAAATAAATAAAACGAGCAGTTCTAATTTATATATAACTATTTATTTTGAAGCTTACAGCATCTTATTAACTAACTCACTCATAAGAGCGCTGCATTTATATAACGAATATATCATTTTAGAATTATATAAAGTAGTCCTTCGGGTTAGCCCGAATTCTTCTAGCCCGATGTTCTACTTTTCTGACTGTTGTATTATTTTCTTGCAATTTACGGTGATTGTAAATTATATCGCCACCCTTCCTACATCTGAGCTCGCAATCCCCCTCGAGTAGTACCCAAAAATCAGTACCGAACTACGCGGATGTTTCCGACGAACAATATTTTTCAAAAGTTCAAAAGTCTTTCTAAAAAGACTTTATTTTCTTTTTAAGGGTTGGAGGTCTAGTCATATCCATTCCTTGAGGTTACGTAGTCATGTAATTTATAATCGCATTTTCCTTCTATATTTGCTTTCATTATTAGTCGAAGTGATATTTTTAAACTACAAAACCGCTTATTACAAAATTACAAGTTTCTCCATTTAATATTTTATTATATCACAGGTCCTCCTGTGCCTCCTTTACTATCCTTCTCCAGCTTGTCCAGTTTATTACATTATCTCTGAAAATTTACCGTTTTGCGTTTTATTTTTAAATCGATCTGGACACTATCCAACTACCTTCTACATGATTGTCCTTTTTTCTTTTCCAGAACAGATGTTTTTTATTTCCACTGTAACTTTTGTATAAGCCTTAGATCACTATCTCTTTAGATTAAATTGCCTATTAAGCCCTGTGAACCCCATCAAACGCCTTTTTAAAATCTATAAAGCAAAAAAAATTGATTTCTCTGTTTCCCATGATGTTAATATTGAGAACAAACTTCTCATTTTCAATCCATCTTTTGAAACAGCATTATTTTTTCCCTTTGTTTCTTCGCATTTCTTTCTATATTGTATTGGTTATTATCTTGAGAGTCAGTTTGGCAGAATAGCTCATGAGCCTCTGAAGATTTTACATGATAATGTATTAGGTTTTTCGCAAATGGTATAAATGTGGACTCTATATTTGTGGAATTTTTTCAGTTTCGTAAATGTATATGAAAATACGGTAATAGAGGATAAAATACAGCAATTAAAGAAGACCATAAAAAAAATAAGGATCTTTCTCCGTAGTAATATACCTTAGTTGTATAAGACATTGGTTTAAAATATCAACACAAACTTTCCACTAATTATATTTCTGTTCTTATTTAATTAGAAGGTCAATACACAAGTTTACAAAAAAGTCTTCAACATCCTCTGATAAACTCTACTAACGACTATTGTTTCTCATATTTGTTATTGTCGATATCCTATAACTATTGTTATTATGGTAAGAAGAATGTTAACGAGTTTATGATAATCACTTCGCATTCAACAACAGACAGTTTATTAATAAAGAGTAGGCATTACAGATATTAAAAACACATTGAATTCATTATCTCAATTTGAGAATCTTTAAACAAACACTAAAGCTATCTAATAATCAAATATTGTATTTATATGGGATTAAGCCATAATGGATTGTAATAAAACTTACATCTTACGCTTTTTTTTTGACGTTTTGATTTCCAATCCGAAAATCGTTTTCAAACAATTTTTAATTAAAGAAATTATTACTTTAATATATAAATGTTTATACAGAGTGGCCCAAAAGTCTGGAAACGGCTAATTATCTCGTAAAATGGTAATCATATTTGTACAAAATTTGATGTACACCTATTTTGGGATACGGATATTCCATATTTGATATTTACAATGTTGCCAGATTTGCCGTTTTTCTTATATTATTAGTAACTTTGGTTATTCAAATACATCACCCTGTATATTCAGCCATTATTGGAATCTCTTATTCAATACGAGTTCAACCATATGTAACACTTATGATTTTATGTAATCTGGAAGGTCATAAATACATAAAACCGTTATGTTACTAGCTGTTATGTTACTCTATGTTACGCCATGTTACCTATCCAACGGTAACTAGTTGTTATCAACAGGTCCTCGTAGACACTTCGTCTCAGGACCATTTTACTTATGTAGAGTCTTACGCCGCCATGTTACCTATCCAACGGTAACTTAAACATCACAAATTATAACTATTAATAATGTAAAACAACTACAAATTTAAAACATTTAAAGGGTTTTGACCCATATATTTTGGTGGCTACTATCATGTACAACCGTTTGCACTGATGATGGATTTATCAATCCGAAAACGTTTTGCAATGTGTTTGTGATAGCCCGTTTGGGGCATTTTTTATATACCTTTTATAAATTATTTTAAACAATTTTTTGAATTATTTGTTCTACGGTCGGTCCAAGGAATTCGTAACATTCGTCGTCTCCAACAGAACATTTCAGTGGCGTCTATCTTTCTTCTCTCGGATTGTCTCAGAGTCCAAGATTCACATCCGTAGGTCAGTATTGGGAATATTAAGCAGTTGATCAATCTCATCTTTATCGCTCTTGAAATTTGACAGTCCTTCCATATTTTGGTCATTTTTGCTGTGGCAACTTTTGCTAGATCACATCTACGTTTAATCTCTTCTTGTCATGACCCTGTGTTTGTGATTAATGATCCCAAATATAAGTATGAGCTCACAACCTCGAACCGGTCAATTGTGGTTATGTGTGGATGATTGTTGTGTAGTCTATCCACTATCATGATCTTTGTCTTTGATATGTTTAATTGCAGACCAAATATTTGACTTTCGTTTTCGATCAGTCGTATAAGTTCCATCAGCTCTGCTTGACTATTTGCAAGAAGGGCTGTGTCATCTGCGAAACGTAGGTTGTTTAGTTTATGACCATTTATTGAGATGCCCTTTTCCCATCCTTCAAGTGCTCTTCGCATAATATTCTCCCGGTATATGTTGAATAATTGTGGAGATAGTATACATCCTTGTCTGACACCCCGTTCTGGATGAAACTCGTTCGAAAGTGTGTCAAGTACTTTAACTGATCCAGTAGTGTGTTCATATAGTTCAGTTATAAGCGTAATTAGATGTTGTGGTACGCCTACTTCTTTTAGTATCCGCCATAAGTGTCTCCACTTGACCCTGTCGAACGCTTTACGGTAATCTATAAAACAGATGTATAGTGGAATGTTGAATTCCCTAGATTTCTCGATTATCTGTCCTATATTCAGCAGGTGTTCTCGAGTGCCTCTACCTTTGGTAAATCCAGTTTGCTCTTGTGGAATTCCTCTTTGAAGGAATGTTTTCAGTCTCTCATTGATTATACGTAGCATTATCTTGCTGGCGTGGGATATAAGAGAGATAGTTCTATAATTGTCGCATTTATGGAAATTGCCTTTTTTATGTATGGTCATTGTAGATTTTGTCCAGTCGTAAGGCCATTGTTTGGAATGCCATATTTGGTTGCAGAGTAGATGAAGTAACTTTACGCCGGTTTCTTCTGTGGCTTTAGACTCAAGACTACAAAGCAAAAATAAATGACATCCTAAACGATACGACATATCAAAGAATCTCGTCGGAATCAAAATTGTTATATAGAGGTCCTCGTATATGCAGAAAGCAACACTTAGGGCCACCAATCGAATCATTTGTCTGGAATAGAACATTTCGAATTTGTCTAAAGCCTTTGCTCGTTCTTCTTTTATAGTGTGATTTTGCTGTGGACGGTTATTTTATGGCGTTTGTAGATTTTAGATAATTAAAGGGAAAAATTTACATCGATCGACAATGGTAAAAGTTTTGTAAACTTTTATTCTTCATACATAAAATCATCCTCACAGGAAAATATTCGTAGAAGCGAATAATTACCTATTCAAAAAAAAAGGTATATACCCTAATATAGCAGTTATTGTAATTGAGTGCAATTTTTCAATTTAGCTGTTAATGATACATAACAAGCTTTATACTATGGCAATTTAGAAAATGATCTTTAAATAAAAAAAACTCAAGGATGCATTTATATAATTATCTTCCTGTCCTGTAACTAAATCATATGGAAGCATATTAATATGATTTGCGATCAAATAAGGTCTTAAAGAAAAACAGCAATGCCAATATTTCAGTTTCGTGTTAGTTCGTTAGTGCTGACAGAAAAATCGATGATTTGGTTTGTAATAATAACATCGCTGAAATAAAATAACATAAAATAATCTAGAGGTATAAGGAATATTAATTTATTAATACAAATAGTGATCATCAATGGACTTTCATTCCATCGGCGTAAAAATGTCCACGATTAAAGATATAATATTTATATTTCGTAGAAATAATGACAATAATAATAACTCGTCTATTGACCATCACAACAACAAACAAATATCTAGAGGCTCCTGATTCATGTGTAACAAAAATAGTTGTAATATTTAGTATACATTGGAATAGCAGGTATACGGACAATATATTCGGGAGACTCCAGACGCGCACTGTTATGTTATTTTCTTTTTTATTTACACTGCTTATTCTTTAAAAAAAACTAATTAAATATGTTCAACAGCATTTGCATAGAGCTTTTTCGTGGTTGCACCTTTAAAATTGTTCTTTTGTGTTCATAATAAATAAGAAGACAGTCAACTGTTCTATTCTTATAACAGTGGTGGAGAAATTTTGTCAAAATAACCTTTAAAATAGTGATTAAATATTCACTTCCAAATAAACTCTTTCGTTGGAAAAGGTCTGCTATTTTCGCCACTTCGGAAAAAAAGTTGCGGTTCTATGAATCACAGCGAGACGATCGATGATACTGTTCTCAATGGGACCGTATCCTAGTCCTAAGACACTAATAAAATTGTTTTTGTGGCGTAGTTCTTTTATTGCCTCTTCACCTGCACACTTTATTCGCATCGTTTGTTGAGATTATTATTGTTTGTATGTGAAGGACATATTTTATGTAGTTTTTGTCATTTCTGTGGAACGGTGTAAAACATTTTATTATCGAAGTGACTGCGTAAAGCATAAAACCTGCCTCATTTTAAAATAACTGGTTCAAAATTAAGGTTTATTACGTGATGGGTATACAGTAGACTCGCGATTATCCGAGTCCCGATTAACCAAGGTAGTAATTGAAAAGATCAAATTATGTAAAAAATTAGCTTAAGAGTGATATCAAGTAAAAGCGTTGCACTGGTTTTTAGTCTCCTGAAGAGATGAGCCACTAGCGAGTGTTATTGTTCTAGCCACTGTGCTTCTACTTTCCGGCTTACCAGCCACTCCTTCACCCGTCAGTTTCAGTCATAACAGCTAGCTGTTCGGTTCGTTCCACTGTAAGCTCTTACAAGTTCATTTATATCTTCTCTTTGTGTAGTTTCTACATAACTTGGTGTATACGTGCTATAAAACGCTTGGATAAGGGTGACGTCAACGAGTGGATTATGCAAGATTACCAAATCGAACTGACTGATGATGCAATGGCCGACATGGTTATCAACCCACACAATGTCACTGCGGATGACACACATGAGATAAACGAGAAAATATCTCACTCCGTAGGATTGTAGGCGATTGGAGCTGTCCTTGCCTACATTCAGCAATAGGAATAGTCAAAACGCTATTGACGTCGTTTATCTTCCGCGTTGGCAAAACGCCGCAACTTCAAAACGAGACTCGAAGTTGACGCAGAAATCTATCAAAGACTTTTTTAAAACATGAAGATGATCCAGTACGTAATTATTTTTCTATCTATATATTTTAACTATGTATTCACATATAGGTTAACATACTTCAATTGTACATAATAAACGAATTACATACGTCATAACTTTTAAATTTTTTGTTTATTTTATATAACCACCCGATTTCCGGGTTATCCGAGTTTTTGGGTATCCGAGGTATGCGCGGTCCCAATTAGCTCGGATACTCGCTAGTCTACTGTAATATAATTTTGCTAAAACTAGGTAAGGTTGGAGCAGAAAATGGATCTAAAAAAAACAATGTGTGTTATTAATCAGATTTGCATTAATATGAAAAACATAAAATTAAGCACAGGCTAAATCTACTGTTACGATTTTAAATGTTATGGCATATAGAACTGTAAATATTTTATGACTAATTCTTTTTATTGATTCTCGTAATTTGTAGGTCAAAATATACCTGAGCTTCGCTACCAGTTGTTTACAGAAATCTCTAGACACTAATTTTAGTGAGTCATCCACGTCTCGAGGTTGAAAAACAAGTCGAGCGCCTTC